ACAAAGTGGCAGAGATGACCAAGATTCCTTGCTTTGGGAAACTGTATGGTGAGTTCAAAGTTACTTCCCCTCATTACAGCCTCATGACCACAGCTGAGCTGGAGAACACCACAACTGAACCAGCCACACCAGAGTTTAAAGTAGGCCTGAACTCATGGGCTACTTCTACTCTTAAAGTGCTAGACTTCACTGCTGTTGCTTCTGCACACTTTGCTGCTCCCGAAATGAGCCGTCTGACCATCTCGGAATCCATTAATGTTCAGCAGTCATCTTTCACTCTTGACCACAAGAGCACAATGAATTTTTATGGCTTATCAGCTCAAGCCTCTGGTGAAACCACCGCAAAAGCAACAACAGAGCTCTATGTGGCACAGCTTGTCAACAGTGGATTCTTTGATTCGAAAAATGGATTTTCTGCCAAAATGGACACTGCCTACAAACACGATTTCAAGTTTCCACCCCTCAACATCCTCAGTGAAATGATGATTGATCAAAAGACTGTCTTTGGACTTGAAGATGGCAGCATTCAGCTTACCTTTAATAACTTGGTCAATGAAAACTACAGAATTTTGGATTTCTCAGATGAAGCAAGCCACAAGAGCGACATCAAGATAAATATGGATCTCCAGAACATCAAAGTCACTCTCACTGGTGACACCAGTAGCAGTCTTTTAAATGTTAAGGAAAGTTTTGATGCTGATATCAGTATTTTCTGCCATTTCCTGATTGATGCCAAATTGGAGACTGATACACCTTTCATTAAGGGCAGTGTGGCAGAGCTTAAGCTTCATGCTAAGACTGAAGACATGAAAATTGATTTCACTGCCTCTCACAATGCAGAACTAGTTGGCAACATTGAAGGAACCCTTTCAAACTCTATACTCACTTTGATCTCAGCCACAGAGTTTACATTTGATACTCAGAACAAAGGAAAGGCCAAGATTGTCCTTCCATTCAAGCTCTCTGGAAAAGTTGACCTCCAGAATGATATTACTTTTACTTTGAGCTCAGAAATTCACAGAGCAAGCTGGACCAGTCTGGGCAAGTTTAATCAGTACAAATATTCACATTTGTTCTCCATGGACAATGGTGACAGTGAAATTACTATCCAATCAGAAATCAATGCCGAGGCAGATCTTGAAATGCTGAAGGAACCCATCACTATTCCTGAAGTAACTCTGCCATTTCTTGACATGAGGACACAAAGAGTGGAGAGCTTTTCTCTGTGGGAAGACACTGGCCTGAGCAACATCCTAACCACAACTCAGCAGACACTGGACATCAACTCCAAACTCAAATATGTTAAGAACCCTGAGATGTTCACAATTAACATTAATCTGGATCCAGTCATCCGGGCCATTAATTCCAACATGAGGACCCTGCACAAGAAAATGCTCATAGGCAAGGATAAGGCTGCCACCATTCTGGCTTCGTCTTATGACAAAGCAATGTCAGAGTATGAAAAATACAGCATTGAGCTGCCAAAAACCATTTTAATCCCTGCCTACAAAGTTCCACTGATGAATGTTGAGATGTCCTCCTTCACAATTCCCGTGCCTGATGTCACACTTGTTACAATGCCCTCGCTGCACATCCCATCTGCACTGAGCAAGCTGACTGTTCCAAAAATCATTCTACCCAAGATTCAGAGCATCAAGATCCCAGTGATGGGTGATCTCTCTTATGAGTTCTCAATGGTAACAGAAATGATCACACTTAAAACTGATGCCAGCATCCTCAACCAGGATGGCCTCAAGGCCAAATTCGATGCCTCCTCAATCTCTGGGTTTGAAATTCTGACTGGAAAGATCGAAGCCAACACCAATGTTAACACAGAGGGAGAATTTAAGGTGGCCTCCCTGCTTTCTGTACAGCACTCAGTGCTAGAAGGAAACCATGAGAGCACCATCATCTTGAGTTATGAAAATGTCGAAACATCTATAAGCAATGCAGCAAAGATCAATTTGCCTTCACTCACTATGGAAATCAAACAGGAAATTAAGGGAAATCCAGTAGATGGCATTGTTGTCTCCGTGTCCACACCTTCTGCAGGACTCATTGGTGTACAGATGCAGACCAAGCTGCCAGCACAAGTAAAAGCTCAACTCTACGGTCGCTACCCGGTAAGAGAACACATATACATTTGCTCATTAATAAAAGCTTATTTTCTGTTAATCTAAGATATATGTTTAAATTGTTTTTCTTTTCTAATTTTATATTTTTATTCATGCTTGTCCTCTCAACAGACTGAACCAACAACAGACATCAACATCTTGGGTCTCAAAATGTCTGTAAAGGACTCTGAGAAGCTGAATCTTCAGACGACCTGGAATATGGAGATACCATATGAGATGATGCTGGGATTGAAGAAACAGGTGCCAGCAGCCATGGAAATGGTCTCTGATGCCACTGTGAAGATGAACAGCAAAATCAACAGGCTTGTTAGGAGTCTCAAGGGGTCGTTTGAAAAGTTAAGAAGGCAGGGTAAAGCAATGTTCAAGAAGGCTGTTGAAAAACTGTCTGATGTTACTTCTTCTGACTTTATGACAACTGTCACAGATAAGACCATTCTGATTCTAAAAGAGTCCCAGAAGAAGATTGAGGTTGTTGTTGATGCTGTGATTAAATTCTTGAGACACACCAAGTTCCAGATCCCTGGCTATGACCGAAGGCTCTCTGGACTTGAGGTCTACCAGGAATTCAGCACTTTTGTTGCTGATGTATCTGAAGAGGCTTTTGAGAAGTTCCCTGAGTACTTTGCCACTATCTTTGCATCAGTCTTTGATCACATCCAAGCCGTAGAATTCACCATCCCTGGCTCTAACACCATTGTCACTGGTCAAGAACTTTTTGATGACTTAATGACTGCTTTGAGGAAAATTCAGAAACAGCTGATTGTTAGCACAAGGAAACTTGGAGACATCCAACTGGATGACATCATTAGAAAATTCTCAGAATTCATGCAATTTATCGTTGAACAAAGTGAAAAGTTTTTCCAAACCCTAAAAGCTCCAAATGTTGAGAACATCTCCAGCTTTGTGATGGATGCATACCATGATGCCAAGAACTCCGCTTTCCTGGTCAGTGTTGCCAAACGAGTTGATGAGATACACATAATCATTAAGGAATATCTCAAAACTGTGATTGATAAAATCCACAGCATCTTGGCTGATATGTCAACTTCACAGCTCAGATCAGACATCCAGTCCTGGATTGACTTATCCGTTAAACGCATCAATGCTTTCCACAACACTGTCATTAGGACCCTCAAAGAAAAAAGCAAGAATGTTGAATCATATGTGAGAGTAAGTGACAGACAGATAGAGGTTGACATTCCTTTACCATTTGTTGCCAAATTCAACTAACTCACCAATACAACAAAACCAATAAGCAAGTATTTCAATTAACTACCTTTCTATCGCAACCAACCAACTCCATAGTTAATTTATTGTCATAAAAAAGCTAAAGTCTACAGTCATATGGATGTCTGTTTTTAGTATGAGTCTTTGTGCAGTTGTTCTGCATAATTTTTTGTTTTTCATGGTGGGACTAACAATTTTTCTGATCCAACTGTGCATCCTTTGTGTCTTGTACTATTTAAACCCTATGTGGCCACCAATAAACTGTTTGTACTGCATATATCTCTGTGTTTCTTAGATCGTGCACAGCAAATAATCTTTTTAATTCAGTTCATGTCTATAGTGCTAAGTCATGTCCATCCAGTTTGTTTCAATATAAACTAATCATGCAGACAGATTCAAATCAACATACATTTCAATCAAATTTTAGAAAAGGAATCCAGTTGATCATAAAAAGCCAATGGAAAAAAAATAAAATAAAAAATTGCCTGCAGAAAGTTGTCATACTGAGCAACCATCTGCAGGAAAACAAAATCAGAGCTCAGAGGGCTTTTTCTAGGAAACAAATATAAAACTTTTTTCAGGAAAGAAATCTAAACACAGAAGCACTGGGTCACTGTGGTAGATTCCACAAAAAAAAAAAAAATCTGTCACAATCATTCACCTTAAAAAGTCACGTTATGAATTATGTGGAAACTTCTGGAAAGAAAACATGTAATAGGCTTTTAAAGACTAAAGAGGGAGGCAGAGATCCAGCAGGATAATGACTGTAATCATACAGTCAGAGTTACAAAGGACAGCTTGAGATTAAAGTATATTCAAGTGTTACAAACCCCAGACCTACCCAAATGAGTATCTAAGAATTGAAAGACCTTTTGTCTGTGAACATCACCCAAAATGTGGGCAAACCTTTGTCTCTAGAAGTGCAAAACAGGGGAAGAAAAACCCAGGACATGTACAGCTGTCAGTACAGGTAAAAGTGTGGGTTCAGAAAACCATGTATCATTTTTTTGACACTTCATAATTGTGTGCTACTCTGTATATTGGTCTATGACATAACCTTATATTGAAATCACAAGTGGGTAGTTGCAACATGATAAAATGTGCAATGTAGGAAAACTTTTGCAAGACTTTTGTTGAAAAATTTTAACTTTTTGCAACTGAAAAATTAAAATTTTCTTTTATTTTGAATATCAGAAATCAGTCTACAGCAGACTCCAGCCATTTGTCCTCTATGCTCCCCTTATGCTCAGTTCTATATTTAGTCAAGACTAAAATAGTAACTGTGGCATTCATAGTTCTTGTGAAACAAAGTGGACGAAAGACATACACAGTGTCTGCTTGGAGGCTGCTAATAGAAAACAAGCAAAATAATGAATTATTTGCACTATATTTGTAATGCAAATAAAATTATTATTTTATGTATTTCACATTAGTTGTAATAGAATAAAAATCTCAGGTCTGGCTTGTTATGTAGATTGTGTAAGGGATGTAATCGCAAACGATAAATAACTTTTTAAAATCAAAATATATCAAGATTTAAATTCAAGAAATTCAAGAAAGATAGTTCTTTGTACGTTCCAGTATAGAAAGCAATGTTGATGTGTAAGTAACATGATTCAAAGAAATCAAATAAAAAAGTTCATGAAAAATCACTTTATTTAGATTCCCACTCTTTCCTTCTTAACAAGCACCATTTTCTCCTCACAATATTTCCAGCGTATCATTCTAGTACAACAAATACCCATAAATAGAAACATCTCACACAGTCACTGTTGTCCTTCTCCACATTTTAGCAAAAATAAAGATTAGAAAAACCTGCAGAATTCGATCTGTGTAACGTTGCTGTAAATCAGAGGCACATCAGGGGGGCCATTGTGGGAAAATCAAGCAGTTCAGCACAATGCATTCCTGTTGTGTAGGTCAGCAGAAAGCCCAGCAACAGAAGACAGCCGGGAATGTGACTTTCACACTGTCGTGTCTCTGGGTAGATTCAGAAAACACTCACTTGCTTAAATCCTGGAACATGCTGATGATTTCTCATCAGCAGAAATAAGATGCGTTTCACAAACCTAAATATGTCGTAAAAAACACGAAGAGAAATTTCCTGAATCACCAGAACAGTAACAGTGTCAGTAATCAATGTAAAAAGCTTTTATTTGAACAAGAACTCCCATGACCACACAAGAGGACGTTACACAACATGTGGAGCAAGAGATGAGCTGAACTTATTTCACAACCACCAAAGATTAACCCAGATACATTAAATTCTATCCCATGAGCTTTCTAACCAAGTAAATTTGAATTACATTCATAGTCGCATATTTAGATTTGTATTTAGTGACTTAAAATACTCCTGATGCAGCTTAAGTGTTACAGCAGGTCTGTAGATTCACATTTAATTTTGACACCTTTGTACAGGCTAATGTTACCAGAGAAAATATCATCAGTCTTGAAAAACACAAACTGATACACTGAAGTGCTTTGTTAATGTAAAATACTATTTATCTAAACCCTCCTTGCCCCACAAAAAAACAAAACTGGATTTCTGTGACTATCAAAAAAAAAGTGCCCTTACAAGATACCAAATCATCATAGTAGTTCCTAAGTAGGAAAGTATCAGAATAATCACTCTGAAAAGCTTGGCTTCAGCTACTGTACATATAACTTAGTTTAATTGTACTGTAAAGTAACAGGATTATGTACCGAATAATCAATGACCAAAATCTGATGGTATTACTGTAAACTTGACAGCCCTTTACAGAACAGTTTGGAAAGAGTCAGGTATTTTGCCCTTTTTTCAGGAACATGATGGAATTGTTTTTTCCAACGATGCTGCATAAGAACTATTAGACAAACATGCCAGGGGCATCGATCGTACCTGCTTTGGCAACTAACAATTTAAAGTAGAGCTTCGTGGCAATAGGTACATCTGAAATCAAATTATTATTAAAGGAACACAGAAACACATTTTTCTCACTTTCCACATTGTTTCCCATCATCACCTTCAACCGCTAAAGCTGCAGTGTCTGAATTATTAAGATTTTGTGGAGTGCAAGAATAAAAACTCAATTCAAGCTACCCAATAAAAAAATACTCATCAAAAAGCACAACATAAATATTTAACACTTGAAATAATACTGCCTGCCAATTAGTTTATCTAAACACCATCGCATACACTAACTAGTAAGGCGATCACAATTATAGTACAATATACTGTCAAGCTCTAAAAAGTTTTGACACTATTATGATTTACTTAAACAAAAGTTGGTTCCTCAACCTAAATAAATTAATTCTCACATGAAGTCACTTTCTGGTATTTTGATCTGACCAGGGATCATAATCTGTCATATTTCATTAGTCAGTCAGAACAAATGCATATCAGAACCAGAATTAATGGAAACATTCTGTGACATAAGGCCCTTAGAAATATAACATTTGTCTAAATTAAATTGAAGTAGAATGGGATTGAACAGCAATAAATACAAAGATATGGAGAGGTGAAAAGACATTAAACCCTCTGAAGTAGCTCCTTCATGTACTGTATGTGCTTTAAAAGACCTTTGGCCAAGTAAGCTGTAAGGCAACACTTGCTGAACTAAGCATGGATCAGTTACTGATGTCAGGGTATTAAAAATTTTTTACAAAAAACTAACAAGAGAAAATTCACACACACCTAAACCCACCAAAATTTGTCAGTACTTTCCTATAATTCAGTCCTCTTGAATTGACTTCAGACAAAGTGCACTGGCTGTAAAAACCAAGAGTAAAGCAAAGCCGTCCCTACCTTACATGTTTTTCTACAAACTCCTGCTAAAGCAGGTTACTATACTTTTTCTCACACTTGCAGAAGAGACAAACTAGTTGTGAGCTGGCTAGCAAGTACATTTTAGATTTTAGTTTGATAGTGTTAAAACATTTTTGTTTAGTACCACAAAACCTGGCTGTGCAATCTAATACACCCAAGAGTAATACAAACTGGTCAATTTGACCACCAAGAACTACAATTTTATGAAAAGTAAAATAAATTTCTATTAACTCTTTAGAAAGTTTAGGTGTGACCCCAAAGCTGCTTAAGATATGTGAAATAATTTAAATTCCGGGACAAAATGCAGTGCAATTCTGCATAAATCACGTAAAACAGTCTACCTATTCTCAGCAGCAAGACATGCTAATCCTTCTTTAACAAAAGCAACAGAAACGTCTTCAAGACATTTAGCTGCTGCTTGTGTGCCTCACCCACCCTGTCCTACAGTCACCCTGCCTACATCAAAAACACTGATTTTAAATGGAAAAAAATAAACCCAAACCAACATAAAAACTAGAATCACTATACAGAATACCATATGAATTTCTCTGAATTATAAGGATTATGGTGATGTGCAATTTTACAAACTCGATGCAGATATGTTGCAACACCAAACATAAATTAGAGTGCAGATTTTTGGTGAAACAGTTAATGTAATAAAAAAAATTAAAAAATAGATCAGTAACGGTCTTTGCTTGCAAGCCAGCTTCAGGTAAGGCCACACTCAGTGAGCAGAGGATAAACTTCTCCAAATATAATGAAACAATATGTTGCTTTGTTGTTTTTCGAATCGACTAGGATCATGTGACCCAGAATGAAGACGCTCAAACCAGTGTGTAACACACCAACACCCACATGCAAGCGTGCTGTGAACAATGCGTTTGCAGTCATTGGTTTTGGTTCAGCTGAAGGCACGTCCAAACACAGACCCCCAGCGGAAGGGAACGTCTTGTATGCTGCAAAGGTCCTCCAGACCTTGTAATCCACAGTTGACTCACAGCATCACACAGCATTTGAAGCAATCCCCCGCTGTGGAGCGTTTCTGGAGGGTAGCCCGTGTTGCGGTCTCGAACACCTCCCAGATGCCCTCTTTGGTCCTGGCGGAGCACTCCAAGTAGTCGTACGCGCCGATGCGCATGGCCATCGCACGGCCGTCCTCCGCCTTCACGGGCTCTAGTTTCATCCGGGAGAGGTCGTTCTTCGTGTTCTCGTCGTTGCGCAGATCTTTCTTGTTGGCCACCAAAATGATTGGCACGTTCGGACAAAAGTGCTTGACCTCAGGGACCCACTTTTCGGAGATGTTCCCCAACGAGTCCGGGCTGTCCACGGAGTAGCACATGAGGATGACATCAGTGTCCGGGTAGGAGAGAGGGCGCAGTCGGTCGTAGTCCTCCTGTCCGGCCGTGTCCCACAGAGCCAGCTGGACCTGCTGGTTGTCAACCTCAATGTCGGCCACGTAGGTTTCAAACACAGTCGGGACGTAGACCTCGGGAAACTCGTCCTTGCTGAAAACGATCAGGAGACACGTTTTACCACAAGCGCCGTCCCCGACAACCACAAGTTTCTTTCGCTGGACAGCCATTTGGGTCGCTTCTTGGGTTTTCTTTAAACGCGGCATCCAAAATAACGTCTGGACAGTCTTTCTTCTTCGACTCTGCTTTTAAACTCGTTCAGGAGACTTTTTATGCCAGAAAATGTCCTCTGCAAACTCCACAGCGCTTACAGAAACAACGGCCTTGCCTTTATAAAGCGGGGCTGGTTTCCTAAATATAACAATCCAATCGGAAATAAGGAGGTGAGATCATAGTTTGTAGAGGAAAATGTGATTGGATCTCATTGGTTTCCATAGAGGAGAGGAGGGACAGAATCCACAAGGACCCACCCAGGTGACCGAACTATATTATTTATCACTTAAGTTAGTCACAATTTTGAAAAAAATAAGACATTTACAATATACATTTTTTTTATCAAGACTAAAAATATGTTTTTCACAAAGCGATATTATCAAGATTTTCAACTGGATATGTTGCACAATTATGGGATGCTGCTATTTACAGATCCATGATAAATCGCTATCAAAGGCAAACGTGACAATTAATAGCCTATACACAGAAAAGGCGCTAAACATAGCATTATGTTCGAGCAATGCTATCTAAATTGAACAAAAAATAGAGACAATAAATAAACAAAAGCATTTAATATTTGTTTATCTATACTTTTGTATAATTTTTCAAATGCAGAATTCAAAATTGTGTTGAAATTTGATGTTAGTTCCTACTTAGTAATTTTTTTTTTAATTTTAACTTTTCTCAGGAGTACCATGATATGGACGAGGTGATTAATTTGCAAATGTTTTATAGCCATCCATATAAGGAGGAAGCCAGTTAATTTGTTTTTAATAACAAACAAGAACAAGTTAAATATTAAATTAACTTAATCAAATGCTAAAAAAATAACCCTGTATAATTTCAGCTCAAAATAAATGTATGTTTCGATTGATTATTTTGACTCTTTAATTTTGTATATAAAATGTTTCAACAAATCAGCTATCGGATTGTAGCACTTTGCCCCCCGACTGTGTTTGGCAAAGCACACTTTGATGAAGGACGTAGGTCTACGTAGTTCACGCTATTTACAGGGAGGGGGCACCAGCGTAGGCAAACTCTTAGCTCTGAACAAGCCTTGCTAAAAAATCACCGTTCTCTCCACGGCAACAAAACAATATAGAGTAGGGTTGACGGCTACAAGCACAGAGGCTCCATCGACACGACAAGGCGTGAGTATTTTTTTAACCACATTTAAGTATAATTCAAGCAGAAATCTTGTAAATTAAGATAATCGATGGCGGTTCTAAGCCGCGGTGTGGGTATTTTTCTTTTGTTTAGCGGTTAAGGCCCCTCTGTTTGAGACTTGAAGGGGGGCCATGTTGTTGAGTGTTTGGCTGATGTTTAAGCTCAGACAACAGCAAGTTGGCAATTAGCTCTCTTGATAGCTGTCGTTGGTTTTAAATTGCTTGCTAATAACGATAAACGTTACTGCACAAACACACCAACAACATTTGTTGTCGTCACTTGTGACAGAGTCGACGTTAACAATTGATCATTGTTGAATTCGCGATTTTAATATAAAAATTTAGCGGTACAGACCAATAATAAACAGAAGCAGGCCCGCGGCATTTAGCATTGGTTCGTTAGCCGTTAATGTTGCTACTGCTAACACCCATTAGTAACACAATTTAACGTCAGGGGTCTCTAGTTCAGATATTAAACATTCCTCTATTACGTTATTATATATAATAGAGATCTTAACAGCTCGACATTTGGGCATTTTCAACTGAAATCCCCAATAAAACCGGTCAAAGCTACTAAGCTGGCTTGGATATTAGCAACGGGCTCGCTACCTAGCTTAATATAAGCTTCTGGTTTTATTTATTGTATCAATTATAATTAAATGTTGAGTGTAATTATATCTTTTGTGCATTAAGTTTATATTTAGGGTAACATTTAGCAATTTATAATGACTCCAACTGTTACAATATTTAACCACTACCGCAATATAGTGGTAGCGCAGTGTTAGCTTAGCAATAGCTAAATGAAAGCTTGGTTACACTATATAGTTTTTTCCCTGCTTTTGTTTCTTATGTTATTCATTCCCCACGTCTGCCACATCACACTCCCAAAATAAAACTAGTTTCCTGGTGTGCAGGAACCACAGTAAATGACATAAAAACTATGAGCACTCGTGGTTTAGAGTTAGCAGGTCAGGAATTAGTCTGAACCCAGCGAATACAATGAAATTACGCTCTATATTTAGCTTTGTTTAGAGTGTATCACCCCTCAACAAACACTGGGTTACCTAAAGTGTTAATGACGTGCTTACAAGTGATGATTGTAATGTTTATAAAAAAATTACATCTTTATTTGTGAATAAGCATCAATATAGTCGGTCTTATTTGTGCAATGGCTTCTGGAATATGCAGTGCTATTATATGTAACGTTGATGCCACCTTGCAGTCTTTCCACCATTTCTAATTTTAAAGGGCTTGATATTTATCATATTAATTTATCACTAGTTATTTCTTAATGTTATTACAACTTTTAAAATATCTTGCTCTGACCCTTCTTTATCGACTGTTACAGTTTTCTCCTTGTCAATAAGGCTGAAATTTTCCTGCAGCACACTGTGGCTGTACAACTTAAGTACACCTATTCATCTAGGTAATACAAATGAGCAAAACATCAGGCCCACTATGAGAACTTTGCTGTGTGATAACCTAATGTTAAAATGTCAGGCTTTGTATGACAACACGTTAACAAAACTGAAAATTGCAAAGTAAAAGCTGAAAATTGCAAAGTAAAAGGCATAACTGACTGCTTATAAATGGCTTTAAAAACAGCTTTACCTTCTTAAGAGAGATTGGAGTCGCTCACTTTTCACTCACTTAGGAGTGAAAAGTAGACCGTAGACCTACGCCCTCACTTTTTTGTAAGTGAGGGAGAAACAAAGTTGCTGCTGACTTATTTATACTCCATAAAGTTCCTCCGAACAATCTAAAAATAGTCACAAAATCAGTAACACTGGAAACTTGTTTTTTTTTATAACCATCTCAAAAATATTGGTATATGATGACAGCAATAAATTTCCAATGTATTTTTTTGTAGAATGTACAGTTAAACACATCAAAAAAAGAAATTGGAAAAAAATTTTTTTGTCTTGATGTGTTTCCATTTGACTATCCAAGATCATGAGGGTGCTCATGAGGGTCTGACCTTTTACATGTTGCATTTTTCTTAGGCTTTCCCGTGGAATGAGCATTCCATGCAGCATCCTAGGCATGAATGACGTGGGTTGGCAGGAGACGAGAGGTGGGATGCTGCATGCAAATGGTGCTCCTGAATCAGGGGGTGTTCGGGTTCATGGCGGCGGGCCCCTGACTGCGGTCGGGGGTGGTGGACAGGCTCCTGGGGGGCCACATTTACAGGGTATGGATAGAAGCTCTAACCTTACCCCAGGTACGCCGCAACCTCCGCTCAGTGGAAGATCTCAGGACGACGCCACAGTTGGATACTTCTTTCAGAGACAACCAGGAGAGCAACTTGTGGGTTGCACTCCTAGCAAACACCGTTGGCCTACTGGAGATGCTAATCATGTTGATCAGGTAAATTGTAACTAGTAATGTATTGATCTACTCTTTATTACGTGGCCATAGGCTGGTAAATAATCCTTACCCCCTTTTTATTTTTTGACTTCTAATCTGTGTTTTTATTGTTCATTTAATATGTTATATTAAATGAATAAAATGCTTTTAAGTTAAGTGAAAAAAAAATATAATGTGGATAAAAATAAATAAAAATTGATGATGTGGAACTGTAGATCTCATACATCTTGTCTTGCTTTCAAGGCAAGATTTTGTCTTGAAAGCAAAAGAACACAAACCTATAGTTCGAGTGTCAGGAATATACGATTTACAGTTTGGACGTCATTGTGGCATGGATTTCTACTCATAAGTTTTTCCCTGGTTCCTTTTTACAGTTTCAATGAACACATAATATTGAGGTAACGACATATCAAACAAATCTGAACATTTTGCCAGGAACTAAGATCCTTGAATAAACTCATGTAAAATTGGTCCTTTGTGATCAATTCCTAAATGAAAGAAGTTTCTTAGAGTTCAATATATATCACTCCTTTTATGACCAGAAAATGCCTGGTATGTATTTAATTTTACATGTACTTCAATGCACACAAAGATTTATTTTTTTTATAATTTCTTAAATTAGTATGAAAAAATGGATGGTAAAACTTGAAAATATTTTTTGTGATATTACAGAAAAATGAATTTTTTTAACAAAACTTTTTTTTTTTTACTTTAGGTTCGAACTGTAGATGAAATGAATTATGACTTTCAAGCTCTTGCTCTGGAGTCGAGAGGAATGGGAGAGGTAAGGCATTTTAAATGAGATCTATAATCCCTTCAGGATCATCTAATTGATTTTATCCCCAAAGAGAGAGACTAACTTCTGATCTTCTACAGTGATCAAGAATACTTGTATAATTTAATCAGCTTCACCTGGGAAAACAAATTGTTTTGGCTTCTATTGAAAATTAAGTGTGAATTTCCCCATCCTACTGTTGTAAAAACAATTTCTGCATATTCAGCCAAGTTCTACAGATCGTTTTTATTCTTCATCTTCGTGCTACAGCTGATGCAGGGATTTGTTGTTAAAACATTAATTGTCGGTACACAAATTAATACAGAGGGTACTTTATGATTGGATTAAAAGTTGTTCCAATGGAGGAAGCTATTAACCTTTTTGGGAGATTTGCTTATATATTCACACACATTGCAAATTCCTTCTTGCTTTAGGTATTTATCAACAGTGGGAAAAATGTTTCATTCTGTCTTTCTTTAAGCTTTTGCCAACAAAAAAGATCTGGGATTCTGATGAGCTAGCCAAGGATGGGCGGAAAGGGATGCTTCTTGGTGAAGAATGGAGGGAGAACGCATGGGGATCGTCTCGTAAGTGGCTTTTATATCCTTAACGATGCAAAAGTTATTCCAGCACAGCTAATTAATAGCTTTGTTATTGTAGAAGCAGTTGTAACGATTAATGTATCTTTTTTCTTAAATGCATAAACGGATCTCTGTTTTGCACAATCAGAAATATTTCCAAGCTGCCATATTTGTTTGAGATGTAACCAAGGTAAAAGTATCAGAGCCTCTCAGACATCTCAC